TATATATATATCTATATATATATATATATATATATATACTTTGCAAGCAACCCTAATATTACTCCTACCATGCATAGAAGATTGTGGGAATTAAAACTCTATCTCCTAAGATACGTACAAAGATATACACCATATATATTTCTTTCTTTCAATATCATCTTTTTAGTCTACAATATTTTTATTTTTCCATCTAATATTTTAATTCGTTTTTAAAGAAAACACGATTTTCTTTCTTCATTTTATCATTTTTACACTCTTATAAAACAAAACAAAATCCATTTTTTCTATATAATATGGAAAATTAAAAAAATAAAACACATGTTTTTCATTTTTTTAATTCAATTTACATATTTTTTTTAATTTTATATATTGTTAATATTGTAGTAGACTATGGTATACTACGGTGTACTATGATATATACGGTGTCCTATGGTTTACTACGGCATAGTATTCCAAACCCTAGCATCAAAACAAATTCTCAACCGCCGCTAAACCTTAGCAGCCAACAATTTGCAGCCAGTGCCAACTCCTAGCCGTCCACCAAAACCCTAGCGTAAAAAAAAAACCTTAGGTTGATGCAATCGCCTCCCACCATCGATCTAACCTCACACCACCATCTCCTATGGCCATCTCCACCTTAACCATCACCTCTATAACCACAACCACTACCGTCATTGCCATAGACATCGTCACCTTTGTTTCCCCCTCCACCGCATCGACGCCGAGGTCTTCAAGAACCTCGAAATCTTCAGATCTCAGCATCGCCTCCTTCAGCATACTCTACTACTCCGCGACAGAGCTGGAATGGGTCCTCAGAATCTTCAAATTTCAGCGGCGCCAGCATCCTCAGTTAGCCCCCCATCAATTTGCAAGAGAGAGAAAATGAGATGGGTTGGACATCAGAAATATGAGAGAAGGAGATGAAGAGGTGGAATGGTTGAAAAGAAGAGAGAAAATGCTGTAGTGGGGCGACTGGAAAAATAAAGACCGTGGGAAGAGAGAACGAGAGTAATGAGAGTAAACCTAATCTTCTAATATTTATAGTAAAGGTATTTTCGGGTTAAATAAAAATAATTGGATGTGGGTCAAATTTTATTTTGAACTAAGGATTTAGTTAAAATATTTTATTTGAGGTTGTCATCCACTTCATATTAAATTTGTGTTGAGGGGCTCCTAGCATATTACCCCTAAAATTTGAAGAAAAGAAAGAAAGAAAAAAAAAGCGGTCGAATTCATGATTATCTGTTAACTAATATCAAACGCAATTGGAGGTATGATGTATAGCTTTCTAGTATAGAGGACATCTAATTGTAAATATAGATAACCTCATGGGATAGAATTGGAATTTAATGTCTAAAAATTAGCTAGAGTATAACCTAAAAGGATTTCCTTAAATTATTTACTTGAGAGGGGTCTACCTTACATGACTTTTTCAAATGAGGTGGATCTTACTAATTTCCTTATATTTATACTACATATCTTAATTTTAGAAGGGAGCTTAAGGGCCCGTTTAGCTAAGCTTATTTTAAACAACTGATAAGCTCTTACGTTTGATAAAATGTTTTAAGAGTTGATCAGCTGTTACAATAACTTATTTCTAGAATCAATTTTTAAACTGTTTGGATAAAAATGTGGGGTAGAGGTACTTTAAGAAAAAATTATTTGCTCTCCACCAACTTATTTCTACAAATTTTAAGATTTTTCTAAAAAAAAATCACCAAACACTTTGGAAAAGCTTATAAACACTTAAATATTTTATAAGCTCCTTTAACATCTTTTAAGCTTAGCCAAACACCTTCTAAATAGAGCGTTAATTAAAGAGCTTAGTTAAATAAATTAGCAAACAAGAATTTAAATAGAGTTTAAATAGAGTTCGAGCGCATTTGGCTAAGTTTAATTTAAAACATCTTATAAGCTCCTACATATGATAACATGTTCGTCGAGCTAATAAGTTGTTAGATCTTATTTTCAAAATTATTTTTTAAGGTGTTTGGATATGCAAATTATAAGATACTTTTAGATTTTAGAGATTGTTCAAGTGTTTGGAAAATAAGATCTAACGGCCTATCAGCTGCTAAAACAGCTTATCATATGTAGGAGCTTATAAGAGCATCTCCCACCCTTAACACTATTTTTTCACCAAATCCTATTTTTGGTGGTGAAAAAATGGTGTTATCTCCCACCCGCAGCACACCATTCTATAATTTCTCTATTTTTAGTGACAAAATAGTGTATTTGGTCTCCCACCAATTCCATCAAAATTTACACCAAATAATAAAATATTAATATTTCACCATTTTACCATTTATAGAGAATAGGATTTGGTTTGGTCTCCCATGGCATTTCACCAAATATATTACAAAATTATAATTTTAATGTTAATTGTAAATTTAGTCTATTTTATTACTAAAATATTGACTATGAATAATGATTAATTTTATTAAGTATATAATTTAGAAATTATGATAAATATCAAAAAATTATTGAAACATGAATGAAAATCGACTTAGATTATTATACATATAATAAAACCACGAATAAACAATAATTATTTCCTAATAACCTTACAACATACATTAATCATAAAAACATTACAACATTTTTTTTGCCCAAAAATTTTATTTCATTGATAACAGGGGCCTCGTTAAAACCTTGTTTCGCCTAACAATGAAAGAGTACCCCTTATTAGGAGATGAGTCTCATTCATCATTATTATCTTCATCATGTTCAACATAAGAGTACCCCTTTTTGTTGTTTTATGATAATAAATGTATTTTATTGTTTAAAAATATTATTTATTTTGGCCAAACATTTTTATATTTATTTAAAAGTTAAACAATAATAATAATAATAATAATAATAATAATAATAATAATAATAATAATAATAATAATAATAATAATAATAATAATAATAATAATAATAATAATAATAATAATAATAATAATAATAATAATAATAGTATATTTTAAATTTTGAAAACTAATTCACTAATTAACACTGGTATATTTATTATAAATATATTTATAAGGTGGTAATCACATGAAATTAGTTAATATAATAATTGTACATGTTAATTATAAAATGGTGTTAATTACACCAAATCCTATTTTCACTTCTATATTTGATAGAAAAAATAGGATTTGGTGGAAAAAATGGTAAAATGGTGGTACGGGTGGGAGATGAAAATTTCTTCACCAAAAAATTTGGTGAAAATATAGGATTTAGAGATATAGTGATATAGAGTTTGACCAGGGTGGGAGACTAAACTAAATCACTATAATTTTAGGTGTAATGGTGATTTAGAGATTTAGGTTGGGAGGCTAAAAACACCTAAATTAGGTGATAATTATAGGATTTGGTGATGGGTGGGAGATGCTCTAAGATGTTATATATATATATATATATATATATATATATATATATATGTCTATGGCCCCTTTCTCCGCCCCCCTATTTATTTTCGAATTTTTTTTGGCCACTTTTTATTTGAAACGACGACGTTTCGTCTTACTCCACCAATCGTTTTGCGCCTTCCTTTTCTTTTTCCTTTTCTTTCCGCAGATGCACGATCGACCTCTGTGCTTCTTCTTTTCTTTTGCCTTTTCTTTTAATACGCTCACCGCTGCTGCTTTTGACTCTTCTCTCTTCGGCCACCTCCTTCTTCTCTCCGCCAGGTGTAATTGCTGACACCTAACCTGGCACAGCTTCCCAGCACAGCTGGCCCTTTTTTGTTCTGTAAAGCTCAAGGGCTAGGCCGTAGCCGGTGTCGCCATTTGTTCGGTAATTTAATTATTTTTCTGATTTTAGTGGGCGCTGTGCGCTTCTCCGCCGGCGTAATTCTGGACTCCGGCCACCTCCGCCGCCAGCCTTGCTGTCACGCGTTTGAATAATTCGTTGTTTGATGCCCGTCTTCTTCTTCCTTTGCAGTGGAGGTATATCTCTCGTAGTTCTCTTTTTTTTTTTGGGTTTTCTATTGTTTTTTTCTTATTATTTCTGTAATAGTGTTGGACATAAAGGTTACAGGAGGTGCTGCCTACTTCCGCCGCCGTATACGGATCCTATACCGCTGATTCCTGGAGAAGAGATAAGCTTGAGAATTTTTTTAATTAATTATTTTTTTGACGAAAATGGCGAAAAATCACGAAACAGAGCACCCAGTTGGGGCATTCGGGTGGGCTGCCAGAGATACTTCCGGCGTCCTTTCTCCGTTCAACTTTTCTACAAGGTATTAATTATTATTGAAGGATTTTATTATCTCAATTGAATATTTTTTTTCAAAAACCTTCTCTAGAATAAAAACTTTTTTTTATTGAAGAATTATTTAATTTTTGGGGATGGTGGTGCAGGGCTACGGAAGAGTATGATGTGCAGTTCTCCTTTTTCTGTTTCTCCTACCCAGTTCAGTTTTCTTTCACATTTTTCATGCCTCCTCTCTCCTCAGTTTCGTCTCTCTGTGTATTGCTATATTTTACTGGTACCAGCATTTGTTTTTTTTGTTTTCCAATTTTTAAGGTTGATTCTTTTTACAAGAACCTATTTGATTAGTGGTTATGTTTATTCCACGGATTTATGGGTTCGTGATTATTTGATCTGTACCATGTGCTTCAATCTTGGGTGGGAAAATCCACTGTAGATTAACTCTGTTTTCATTTTTTCAATTTTTTTTGTTTACTTAATTCCTGATAAATTCGGAGTGGGTACTAATTGAAGGATTAAACTTTGATATAGGTAATAAGAAATGTTTTTATTGATTAAATGTTATGATTTGTTCTTTGCTTTATATGTGGCAAAAATTCAACCTTTACGCCAAATAATTTCTTGTTTCTGGATATTTTTTAATCAAAAAGCTATGGATTTTCTATGTGATCTGTATTTTGAATCATATGCCAATTTTATTTATTTTCGATTTGTAACTGGTTTATATTTGGATGTAGAAATTAGGGTTTAGAAAGAAAAGAAATGGAAGAGTAATGGCACTAGCAGAAGCTAGGGCTGCTTGGCAGAGAACAGGCAACAGATGCTTGGTCCAAGAAGATGCTAAAAGAGCACCTAAATTAGCTTACTGCTCATCACTTCCCCCTCCTTGTTCTAAACCCTCCGAAACCGGACCCACAACTTCCCCTTCTCCCCAAGATATTCCTCCTCCCTCTGCTTCTTCTTATCCCTTCGATCGAAACTCTTCCTATTATATATATAATTCTATGTGTCGGTGAGGTTACGACTGTTGAACGGTAGGGAAATTCTGAGGAACGATGTTTCGGATTGGGAATGCATCAATAACGAGACGATTATTTACAAAAATTTTGCTCTCTCTTCCTCGGAGAGATCAATGTACCCCGCTTCGTTTACATTTGGTGAGTGTGATTTTTTCGGGATTTCGGGTTTTCGAATTTTGTTTAATTTTACTTTGATTAATGATGGTGTTTCAGACAAGATCATAGTATACAGTGTACTGTGTTTTTAAGCTTTTGCGGCAAGCAATTGTGAAAGAACACTTTTTTGTTTCGTAATTTTTGACTTGTGGTTGCTCGACGAGAGAAGTGTACGAACAGGGAGCTAAGGATGTTGTGCTTTCGGTTATTAGTGGAATCAATTGTGAGTTTAGTTTCTCTCTTTTCTAATTTTTTTGGATTCATGTAATATAAATAGATATTATTTATTCGAACCAAAGATGATTTTTTTTTTGTAGCACGTGTTTTTGCGTATGGACAGACGAGCAACGGAAAGACGTACACGATGATTGGAATAACTGAATACGCACTACCTGACATATATGGATACATACAGAAGGTAAGATGAAACTGTACTTCATTATTCGTATTTTTTTTGCAAATTATGCTTATTTTTTTAATAATCGAGGGATTTTTCAGCACCAAGAAAGAGATTTCGTGTTCAAATTCTCTGCTATGGAGATCTACAACGAATCGGTGAGAGATCTACTCAGTGTAGATAACACTCCACTAAGACTTCTCGATGATACAGAGGTGAATTCTTTTTCATTGACAAGCGATTTTGCTCAATTTTAATTTTTTTTTCTTAATTTTGTTATTTTCGATTTCGCTTATCGTACTTATTTCGCCAGAAAGGCACCGTAGTCGAGATGCTGACAGAGGAGATATTAAGGGACTGGAGTCATGTGATTCATCTCTTTTGTATATGTGAAGGTAAGAAATAAGAAAACTGATATATTTAATTCGTATTTAATATCTTGACTCCGTTGTTTCGATTCTTGATAATTTGGAACCATTGCTCGTAATCAAAACGACTGTTACATTTCTTAGGGCCTCGTTTGGGAACATTCGATAAAGCTTGATTATATTGTCTATCATGCCTAATCACGATTGCCAAACAAGGCTTAAGAGTACAAAATCATCATTTTTGTTAATCCTTGCAGCTCAAAGACAAATTGGAGAAACGTCCCTTAATGAAATGAGCTCGAGATCCCACCAAATTATTAGATTGGTATATTGTGATTTTATTTAAATTTATTGATTATTTATTCGATAACTTTTGTTAATGAACAATGTGGTTTGTCGCAGACTATTGAAAGCTGTTCTCGTGAATTTTTAGGAAGGGACAATGCGGGCACTCTTACAGCAGCTGTGGTATGGAATTTATCTAATAACAAAGAAATAATGGTATAGCATTATTTAATGTTTTTTAATCGGAAAGTAATTTTATCGACAGAATTTTGCTCAATTTTCAAGCAAGTCGCCTGATATCTACTCCAATTTTGTATTCCAGGCCGCAGTTCCGAAGGTAATTCAATGTCTTTATCTGCTCACAGTAACAGTTATTTGTATCTCTTTGCATGAGCTGGAGTGTCGACTACTAAATATTGATATATATTTACCCTTTTGCATATGTTTACAACAATCTCTGACTAATTAAAATGAGAATTAGAAAAGTAAGTCCTTGCTTTTATTCACTGCTGTTGAAAATTTATCATGTAACGGTTTCTAAGTCAAGTTTCTTCGTCTTTGTTGATTGTGCTCTGCTGAGGGTTTCCTTTTATTGTAAAGCAGCTGTTGCTTTATATATGACTGTTTAATTTGCTACATAATACTTTTGCTGATTTCAGAGCTCATTTTCCGTAAGCATGATGCTCTTTTGTTTTTATTGCATGCCACACATCCAATTAAAAGCAGGCAATTAATAGCTTCAAGCAATAGCACCGTGAAAGAATGAGCCCTAAAATGGGGAAAATTGACATTCATTATCAGGTTCTTTTACTATTCTAGGTTTTAACCATTTGCATTAGTTTTCTTGCTGCTTGTCTTTTTTCCAAATTTGGAACTAATATTTCTATTTTGACTTTAATAGGGTCATCCATGATGCCTCCTTAATGCATCATTCTAAACTTACATTGCCAGCTCATGGTGATCTTACGAGGGAAAGAATTTTTAAGTTCATCATTGATATTTCCTCAAAAGTGTTCTTCTATTTGGTTTATTGTTTTTAGTTTATTGTTTGGTACAAATTGCTATAGATGGATGGTTCTTTTGACGCTAATATGTTGGATTTTTTTTCATTGGCGTGGTAAGGGCAGGGAGTTGAAGCTATGGAGGGAGCACATCTGCTTGGATTGCATTTGTGGGACCGACCGGGCACCTGACTGCCGCCAATTCTTTGCCCCGTCTGGATACGTATGAGTTTCACTTTCACTTTTTGAGTGCCAATTCTTCACAAACGAATAATTTATGCATGTTTATTGGTTATCTGTGGTCTACAGAGGTTTTATAATTTGTCCGTGTTTCTCTTTTCATTAGTCATAAGTTGCTGCTTGAGTTTAGTTTTTATTTTTTTAGTTCATTGGGAGTTTTATTGAAGCTTTGGACTCATATACAATTTTTCTTTGGATGGTTATAATATTAAACTTGTATTATTCAATCAAACAGAGCGACTTTGTATACATGGGAGACACTCTTAATTATTCATCCATGTACATTTTTATATTAATACGCAGTTTGTAGGTGATCCTCTCGTGGAAGATATCTGTAGAATGCACAACGGTCTAGGCGGATGAAATAGGGTATATTTTGTAGTTGTGAGAACTTATTATGAGTTTTTTTATGTTCTTAAAGTTGGAACGTTTATGTTGGCTGATTTTTCCATTTTCAAAAATTATTTTATGTGAAGAAATAAAATAATAGATTGAGCCACGATGTTAACAAGTTTGTAGAGCCAACCGATGCATTCAGTGATTTGTTCGACAACCTGAATTGGTGAGTTTATATGTTTTTCCTTTAAGGTAAAACCATTTAGGTTCTGATTCTGGATCCAGGCGCATGGTTGAAGTGACAATAATATTCTTCCTTGCCTCAATACATTTTATTTCTCCGGTATTCCATTTTCCTTATGATACGAGTCCGTGTTGCATTTATTCCTTATGATATTTCTTCACTACTGTTTTTGAATTATATAAATTAAAAGATGTTTTTCAGTTCTTTTATGTGTGATAGAGCTATGACGGATTCTGCATGTGTGTGAGGGTGTGAGGGTGTGGATTAACTAACAAAATACGCTTGTTTTGCAGTGTGGAAATAGCTAATCAGGAAAACAGGGACTTCTTTCAATGATAGTTCCAGTCTCTCTCCAAGGTCATGCACAAGTAATTCACTATATTTCTAGCTGGTTAATTTGGGAAGTTTTGGGGTTTTAGTGAAATAAAGTGTTTTTTTGGGAGGTTTTGTTATAAACCGCAAATAGTAATTTTCAAACCGCAAAAAGCAATTCCCTAATTAGATTGTAGTGAAACAAAGGCCTCAACTTGTGGTCGACACTGTTGTTATACGAATATTCTATCCTTTACATATTTCTAGCTTGTATAACATCAGTTTTGTATCATTAGTAAATATATTTTTTGATCATTTACCTTTTTACATATTAATATTATCTCTTATTTTATAATCCGTCTTTTTCACCGTATACAATGCTCTATTTAAATGTGACCCTTATATCCAGTCTTCTAATATTGATCAGGATATGGGGGCAACTTTGACGCGTCACATGTGGCGTATAATCAACCATTCAAACTTACGCTAGCATAAATAAAACACATTTTGCAAGTATGTAAACAGGTCACCGGCACCGCGCAATGCGCGGTGCTCTAACCTAGTATATATATATATATATTAATCCGGACAAGAAACTCGGCCCAACAGATAGAACCTCGTTGGGCCCATTTGGAAAAGGGTCCATGAGTCTAGCCCAAACAAGTCCAATAAGGAGAGCACATTTAAGGTTTTACATGCGGCAAAGGTCCCTTTAGGGTAGCCCAAGAGGGCAGAGAGGTTGGTGCTCGAGAGCTCGGGGTTAGTGCAACGCTCGGGGCAAGGATGCGAGGGCCCTGAGCTAAGCATTAATGGCTATGACAGGTACAGAGAGGCGCATTAATTAACATCGACAGACATTCCTTTTGCTCTCATCAGCGCATTAAATGCTCTGACACTAGACATGGCCACGATCGAGTCGGGTCCGAATTTTAGGGGACCCGTAACTAACCCGTTGGAGGCGGGTCCACCCAGATCCATTCGTGTCCGGGTCAAAATCGGTTTTTCAGAATTTTTTTAAAAGAATTTTAATAAAGTAAAAAAAAAGTTAATTGAAACTTGAAAAAACTTGAGCTTAACTTTAAATTCAAAATTACAAAAAAAAAAAAAAATTGAATTTAAACACTAAACAATTTTTAACTTCAAATTATTATTGAAGAAATCATCCACATTTAAATCGAAGCATTTCTTTTACACGCATTGCGCGTGTATCGTCTAATAATTGAAACATGCTTAGTTCAATATCGGTATATTTAAATGTGTCTTCGGTCGACGGTGGCGTTTGTATTTGAGGGGAGTCGAATTCAATTGGATGCTTCTTTTGTACATGCCGTAGTAATAAACCATAATTATTTGTGATATATATATATATATATATATATATATATATATATATATATATATATATTAGTTCGCAATAAATAATTTAGAAAATAAAACATGAATAAATGAAATAACCGTGTAATATTTACATTTTGTTTGGATTTCTCCAGATGCGAGTTGTATTTCGTCAAAATAAGTAGTAGAATTTTTTTTACCGACATTTGAAAAAAAATTGAAACGATTAAGACTTTGAGAAATAAACTAAATAAAATGAAGGTTGTGAAAATGAGTTGGTGAAGATTGGGTTGGAGCTATTCATATGTGTTCTTACCATTCATGTAATAAAGTATTTGAGGCTAATTTTATATTTTAAGTGGTTTAGTAAATAAGCAAATAAGATGTTAAATAAAAAGATGAGGTGGAGTTATTCTTTAAAGAACTACTTATAAGCTCTTAAATATAGAGCTTAGTTTGAGAGTTTAACAAACAACTCTGCATTTAAGAGATTCCAAGAAGAACTTCAATAAAAAGCCTAACAATTAAAGTGTATTTGTAAGTTGCTCTTTGGAGAGCTTCGGTAGGGAGCTCGGTTTGAAATCTTAGAAAACAGCCATGTATGTCAAAATATTTTAAAGGATAAAGATATATCGCTCGACGCAAATATTATATCGAACTGGAATTCAGCAGCCTACAAATGCAGTGTCATTGAAAAACTTAAATAAAAAATAAATAAATAAATCCAGAAATAGAAAAAAATAACTGAACAATTGTTATTTGTTAAATCCACATGGCCATAATTAAGCATGAGATAATATATAGCTACGTATTCAAAGTTGCATAAGAACTAAGAAGCTTATAAGAAATAAAACTAAACTGGGAAGGAAGCTGATGGTGGCCCATGTACATCAATCGTATCTTGCATGCTTGAAGTATAATAAATAATCTTGAGCATGCGTAATACACTATTGGAATTCCATCGTAGAAGCAAAATCCTCTTAGTTTGGACGTTTACCAATTTTCATTATTTCAACACTTGCTATAAATTGGAAAAATGCCACCCTGCAAATACCACATTATCACTATATCTTCTTTTGTAGTAAAATGAGCAGTTCCTCCTCTTCATTCTCTATTCTCTTTATCATTCATCTTCTTATTCATCTCCTTCCTCAAACGTTAAACCTTGCATTTGCTGATGATACCAGTAATGTACGAATTACGATTGATTTCCTATTATTCTTTTTAAGTTTTTGTTTTTCTTTTCTTCATATTTTCCCAACATTATATATATATATATATATATATATATATATATATATATATATATATATATATATATATATATATATATATATATATATATATATATTGAAATTTGAAAAGAAAGGGGTCTATAACATGCTTAATTGTCCATATATGCATATGAAAATATATCAATAAAACAATCTCAACAATGCTAACAAAACATTTATTTAATTCAATAAATAGGTCTACATCGTTTATCTAGGAGAGAGGCAACACGATGACCCAAAACTCGTCACAGATTCGCATCACGACATGCTTACTACTTTGATGGGAAGGTAAAATAGAAAATGCAGTTCTAGTTTGAGTGGGATTCGTAAAAATAATATACGGCTAATATAAACACAATATATTCTGCAGCAAGCAGTTGGCCTTAGAAGCAATGGTGTACAGTTACAGACACGGGTTTTCTGGATTTGCAGCAAAGATAACAGCCTCTCAAGCACAACAACTATCTGGTGAGTCGTGAGAAACAAAAATCGAGAATCCAAATAATCCCTTTACTCATATTCGGCAAAGGCTAGTTTAAAAGTTGTCACCTTTACGATATTGTAGTTCATAGAAAAGCATAACTTATGGCATAATCTTATGTGGTATCGATTAACTGATGAAGATGATATATGTTGACAGAGCATCCAGATGTAGTATCCGTAATGCCAAATTCTTTCTACAATCTGCAAACAACGAGAAGCTGGGATTATTTACGCCTCTCTGCACAAATCCCCAATAATCTCGCGTCTAAAAGTAACATGGGCGATGGAATTATCATAGGCGTTCTAGATACAGGTTTAATAAATTACCAGTCTCCCGTTTTGCTATCGTAGATACAAAATGATTTTTGCAACTAATTAATCGATAATTAATGGTGATATATAAAAAAATAAACACATGCAGGAATATGGCCGGAGTCGGAGGCTTTTCGTGACGAAGGTCTAGGACCAATCCCTTCCGGATGGAAGGGTTTCTGCCAATCTGGCGAACAATTCAACGCGGCTAAACATTGCAGCAAAAAGATAATTGGAGCACGTTGGTTCGTGGACGGATTTCTAGCTGAGATTGGACAAGCCGTCAATCTGACAAGATTGGGCGAGTTTTTATCAGCTAGAGATGCATCTGGACACGGGACCCATGTGTCCAGCACAGCAGCAGGTGCTGATGTGGCGAACGTGAGCTACAACGGGGTGGGTGTGGGGACGGCGAGGGGTGGGGCCCCACGTGCCAGGCTGGCGGTCTACAAGGTGTGCTGGAAGGTGCGGAGCGGGCTGTGTGCAGCGGCCGATATACTGAAAGCGTTTGATGAAGCAATCAAAGACGGAGTGCATGTGCTGACGCTGTCAATTGGGGCTTCATCACTTCCTCTGTACTCTGAAGTGGACGGTCGAGATGCAATCGCCGTTGGATCGTTTCATGCAGTTGCAAAAGGGATCCCGGTCGTCTGTGGAGCTGGAAATGACGGCCCTTCTCCACAAACTGTAAAGAACACTGCCCCTTGGATTATTACTGTTGCTGCCAGCACCATGGATAGAGCTTTCTCAACTCAAATCACACTTGGCAACAACAAGACTCTTCAGGTCCGCAACTTTTTTTATTTTTTTTTATTTATAATTAAAAATTTATATTACTAACTTTCCGAAGGAAAAAAAAAAATGGATCTTGCAGGGTCAGTCTATCTACACAGGGTCCGGAACGGGAGGCGGATTCACGGGCTTGTATTACCCTGCGGATGGAGGCGCCAATACTTCATCAACTGGGTAGGGCTTTTTTCCAAGAGTTTCTTGGTGTTTGGGAATTAATTATGTGTCTGAAATAAACATCCTCGTATTTTTTTTTGCATGTTTACAGTGTGTGCGAAGGTCTCACGCTAAAGCCTAGTCTTGTTGCTGGGAAAGTTGTTCTATGCTTCACCACAGTATCGAGTCCAGTTGTGACACTAATTGCATCGTTGTTAGTGAGAGCTGCAGGCGGAGTTGGTGTTATTGTTTCAAAGCTTCAAAATGATATAACAGGTCAATGCCGCAACTTCCCATGTGCAGAAGTCGATTATGAAATCGGCACTCAGATCCTATTCTACATCCGCTCCAACAGGTACACTTAACATTTCACAAACTTCTTTTTGTTAGCTTCCTATTCGAGATCCTTTATTTATTCTAAAATTATAACCCTCTCCAATTTAGAAATCCAGTGGTGAAACTAAGCCCTCCAACAACTCTTATCGGAAAAGAATCAGTCTCTGCTAAGATTGCTGAATTCTCATCACGCGGCCCCAATACTATTTCAGCTTCAATACTCAAGGCAAGAATAACAATAGTGTTTTTTTTCGTTTCCTCAATTTTGAGTTGCGTATAATAGCTTACCTCGTTATTTACGACGAACAGCCGGATATAGCAGCACCAGGACTGCAAATAATAGCGGCAACTTCAGGCGTTGACACATCAGCAGAAAGAGGTTTCACAATGATGTCAGGTACTTCAATGGCAACTCCTCATATTGCTGGAATTGTAGCCCTTCTCAGAGCACTCCATCCTGATTGGTCACCTGCTGGACTCAGATCTGCACTTACCACCACAGGTATACAAACTCTTTTTCCTGTATATATATATATATATATATATATATATATATATATATATATATATTAATAAATAATAATGCACTTTTTACCACTTGATGAAGCTTGGACGAGTGATCCATATGGAACCCCGATGTTTGCTGAGGGGGACCCACATAAGCTTGCCGATCCTTTCGATTACGGGGGTGGAATTGCGAACCCGAACGGTGCTTCATGTCCGGGGTTGATATATGACATGGACACAACAGACTATATTAATTACCTTTGTGCCATGGAGTACAATAGCTCTGCTATCTCTCGACTAACAGGGCAACCTATAATGTGTCCTAATAAGACATTCCCAATTCTAGATGTGAATTTACCTTCCATAACTATACCGTACCTTAGAAACTCAACTGTCCTAAGCAGAACCGTAACTAACGTGGGACCCACAAACTCAATATACCGTGTCGTAGTTGAGCCGCCAACTGGTACACTTGTGTTTGTAACCCCTCCGATATTGATTTTTAACTCGCATATAAAGAAAATCACGTACCAAGTAACAGTCATTTCTGTGCATCCGCTGATTGGTGGATACTATTTCGGGAGCCTTATATGGACTGATGGGGTACACGATGTTCGAAGTCCAATTGCTGTAAGAAGTGCTATGCCTCAACTCCGTGAATAACGTATTTATTTATATCACAATATACGGTTTTAACGAAACATGCAAAGGAACTATACTAAATAAGCAGAAACCACATGCTACAAATGCTTAATTGATGATCGAACAGAGATTGTGTAAGAAAGAATAATTCATTTTGATGCATACGAGTTTGCTGTGCCTATTGCTTTGTCAATGCTATATTACTACGGCTGTCATATCTAAATTCGAATAACAAAATAATATACAGGAAATCAAATACTACCAGTCTATTCTATGATTTAAGAAGGAAATGAACTCATTATTATATTCAGTATTTGGCTGAAAACAAGTTAGTGCTTATGGAGATATTATATTTAACAGCAGAGTTAGGTCACCTATAAATACCAATTAAATAAATGACAGAAGCATATACATAAAGAAAGCAGAGATGGAAACAACTCAACTATCACTCAACTACTTCTTCTTCAAGACAACATATGTAATCAAGATTAAGGCAGTAGGACAGCAAGAGATTAATCAATTAGAAAAAAAAACAATTCATTACCTCATATTTTTATAACTATTGTAAGAAAGAGTTGAACAACACAAACATACAAGTGCATCAAGTCTTAATCATGATCTATTTTTTTTTAAATAATAAATTAATCTCAGAGTAAACTATTGAGTCACAATCCAAATGACAAGCTGCAATAAGCAATAATTTTATTAATTAAATTTTTTGTTTTCGTTACGCATTAGGGGTTAGGTAGGTAGCTCATGCTATATCAAATTATACAGTTCCTCGAGTCAAGAGTGAAACATTTACTTAGAACTCTTTAATTGATCAAATTCTAGACTCTTTAAAATCGCATTTTAACTAAAAGGTATATCAATCAACAAATAATCTCGGAGGTCATCCAACAAATAAGATTGAAACAACAAAGGGAAGCAATAAGGCGAAAACGGAACCAAGAAGAACAAATTATATGTTAATCAATCAGTAGTAATAAGAGCAGAACAAAATGAAGAAGAAATTGGAAGCAATAATTGCACAACTTCAACTTCTTCAAAAAAAGAAAAAACAAAAAAAGGATGGAAAATGTAGTGAATTAGCAATTGAGAATAGGATTACATCTAGTAAGATTAGTTCGAGGGGGTAATAACATAGATCTACACAAAGGGCAAGTGACCTGTCCGTGATCAATCCATGTGTCCAAACACACCCGGTGGAACAAATGGGTGCAGTTGCAAAGCACTCTGATCTCTTCATTCAATTCCACACACTCCAAGCAAATAGTGCACACTTTCTGCACACCAGATTCAGATTCAGATTCTTCTTCTTCTGATTGTTGAATGAAATGAAGGTAGGGAAGAATGGGGAGCCTTAACTTGATGGCTGCAGTGACAACGTGAACAGGGATAGGGACAAGAGAAGGGGAGGAAGCATCGAGGATAAGGATATAGTTGTTTGAATTGTTTGTGGAATTAGAATCTTCTTCGGGGGCTGGTTTGAACAGGCCGAGATGAGTGAGTGCGCCGATGAATATGAATCTGATATGACTGATTATGTTGAGAAAGAATGTTATCGTAATTGCTTTCGGTATGTTTATTGCCAGGTAGAGGAGCCCCATTCCTCAGGATTTATCACTCAGATGAAGAGAGAGAGATAGAGAGAGAGAGAGAGAGACAGAGAGAATAATGGAAACTGGAAAGAGTAACTAGGGACGTTTGCGGAGAGGCATATGCAAGTCTTGACTCTTAATATGTGGACGACGATACCAAAGTATACCCACCTGTACTATTTTAGTGTTTACTTGCATTTTTAGGATAGCATCTTAAAAGTGGAAATAATGATTTGTTTAATTCATGATAATAACAATTATAATAAAAATTTATTAGTGATATTGGTAACAATATTAATATTTATACAAAATTAATAATATAAATTAATTTCGAAAAATTAATTGTCATAATATGAAACTGACTAATAAATAAATGAAACAAAGAAAAATATTAGAGAAAATAGACTGAAAAATAGGAAATACAAATAATAATAAAAATTAAAAAGATATAAATTTAGTGGATTATGATTGTGGTAGTAGAAATTTGGTTTGAAAGTAATTAAAAAAATAATTAATGCAAACAAATTATTTTTACAAATATGTCATTAGAGTTTCGTAGGTTGCCCAATGTTTCTTTCTTTCATATATAAAGATAAAAATTATTTCCTTTCTTTTGCAAAAATATATAATTGTAGTTAATTAATACAGTTTTGCTACATCCTCTCTCTATTCCACAATGGCTGTCACTTTTTTAAAAAATATTATTTCATTTTATTTGTCACTACACATTTTTAATATTTTATTTAATGCATTTTGTCTTCTTCATGTTTTATATTTACTAATTCAACTTCAGGTATTATCTATCTCTTATAAATCATTAAATAATAAAAGGATATTCTTTTATGTATATTTTTTCTCCTTAAAATGAAGACACGTTTTTTAATTTCTTAATAATTGTACAAAGGTAGAAATAGAGACATATTTAGGACCGAATGGAGTACTCTCCATACCAAATATTTTTTTTAACTTTGAGGATCATCATATTCTGTTTGTCCCATAATATATGTCTTTTTGGAAAGTTTTTCTTGTACCAAACTATTTGTCAATTTATATTTTCAATGAAACATTAATTGTTTTTTTTTTTTTTTAATTTTAACATTTATCACTCTTAATTAGTTAATTGATAAATAATTAATGAGAAGGGTAAACTAGTTATTTCCTATGTGTTTTTTACTGTGATCTATGCATATTTATTTATTTTCTTAATATGTGTTCAACAACCAAAAACATTATATAATATGAGACATATAGAGTATATCTTTAAAGTTTAAACTACGGGGCAACTGCATAAACATCCATGAGCACAATGAGTACGTTATTCAAGGACAATTTTTTTGTTTACCTACAGGTCCTTCATGAAAAAAATACCACCAATTTATTTAAAATTATTACCACATTGATTTTAGAATATGATACGAAATGAAGCTCGAAAATTGCGAAACACACAAGTTATAGATTTGTATACGAGGTTTTCTATGCAACTTGAATTAGCGCAATTGGAGTTTATATGAAAATGTTTCTAAGTAAAATAAATCACAAAATATATAGCAGGTAGATTTTAACAAATTGAAAACCATGAATGTTGTAGGTCAATTGGTAGCGTTACAAAAAAATTTGAATAAGAATCAAAGTAGAAATGTGAATGTCATGCTTAAAATAATTCCTACCATTCCCCGAATAACCAAGTCCTACATGTCGTATGTGGAGAAGTTAAGCCTAATAACTTTCAATGATTCGTATGAACTTTTTAATGTCAGATATGTCATGTTATTCTGTACAGAAAATGACCTATTTAAGTGTGAAATATGGTCAGCTTCAATTAACACTTAACTTGATTAATTTAAGATATTGTGTTCACTAAGCACCAAGTCAACAACATTTTATTAAGGTATTATACATTGGTGGAAATTGAACTGATCGGTTCGGAATTAACATTTTCGAAAAACAAAAAATTTTTGGAAGGGAATTCCTAATTTAAATTTGGTTCCAAAAAATTGAAAATATGAAAATCGGAATTAGAAATGGAGAAGGCATTCTGAAATTCGATATGAGATCAATGATATATTGCGCACAAAGTGAGCTATTTTAAATAACTTAAATGAGCTACATAGATATGAAAAGTTATTATTCCTCGTTAAAAAAAGAGTCATAATAAATTCACTTGGTGCAAGTGAGTTGGCTAGTATATAACTCTTAAGAGGACAAATTATTGTCAAATCTGCAACGTATGCTTGTTGCGAAAACCACAAGCACAATTTCACCGTCCACCCGTCTATGCTTGTGTCCCATGGGCCCTGGGCTTGGTCATTAGGGAAGGCTTGTAAACTAAACTTTTGTTTTAAAAAAAAATATTTTTTATAATTCAATTGAATTAATCCGAATTAATTAAGAAGAGTGACATGTGACAACGACAATATTATTGTCAAGTGAATGGACATGCCCGCCCAGTCGCATGCCAAAAGTTGTGCCTTGTCAGTCGAAATGACTGCTTGATGGAATTGGGGTTATGTCCTTCTATAAAGGTGTCGTGGTTTTTCAACCGTTTATGTTCCAAAGAGCTGTGTGACACACATGGTTCTTGTTAAAAGTTCAAACCGACATTTTTATTCATGGTGCCCCAATCATTATTGTACTGCTCTTTTGTTTTGAAATAGTCGTGTCTTAGAGACAATTGCAGAAAACAAGAGCACAACACGTAACAATATTTTCTTGAAAAGAAAAATCGAGTTCTTGCATCAACTAATAATATTTTGTCAATATACGGTTTCCCTGTCAAAATATCTATTCACTGTTTGAAATACACATATAACACAATTCAATCATTGTTTAACCAATATATTCTAGAAGATTGGTGTTATTAGCTCGTCTTGTTCTCATTTAACATATTTGTCTTTGTTGTTCGTTGGCATTGTCCAATATGTTGGAACAAGATCAAATTATTAATTATATATAAAAAGTAGATTAATAATATTATATAGTTTGAAACTTGTGCTTAGAATGAAAAGAGAATCAAACAAACAACAACTATTTGGAGTCCATTTTTGCCCCCACTAATTGCTTTTATAATACAATGAAAGGGACACATCTACCGGCCCAATATAACTTTTAACAAAATTCTCGGCTTGTTTTTATCTTTTCTTATATTCTAGAAACAAATTTCACTTTTGTTTAGGGATGAAAGTAGGAACGAAATTTTCGATCGCGTCGATTCTGATTCGAACTTTTAAATTTTGGAACGTTTTTCTATTTAGATTTCCATAATTCCAGTTTCTAATCTTTACGGATATTTTTGGATAGAGATTGGATATATATGTGAATTTTAGATTTTCTATCGATTTTAATTTACGAAAAAAGTCTGAATTTTTTATTTATTATGCTACTATATTTGTATTATGTGTATACATTACGTATTTTACTCAGTGAAAAGAATAATTAAAGGGGTAATTACAGTTTTAGTCCCTATATTATACACCAATTTCGATTTTTGTCCTTCAATTTTTTCTGGCACAAAATTGATCCTCAAATAACTAATTCGTTACAATTTCCGTCCACTGTTTGAAATTGCGGTTAGTTAAGACGGAAAACTCACGTGCGAGGCACCTGGCAGTGCACATTAACCCATTTTTTTTACCCATATTAGTTTAGTATTTGTATTTGTATCAGTGTTAGTGTTAGTATTAGTTTTAGTATTAATATAAGTATTAGTATTAGTATAAGTAGTAGTATTATTATTAGTGTTAGTATTAGTATTAGTATTAGTATTAGTATAAGTATTAGTATTAGTATTAGTATTAGTATTAGTATTAGTATTAGTATTAGTATTAGTATTAGTATTAGTATTAGTATTAATATTAGTATTAGTGTTAGTATTAGTATTAGTATTATGGCTCGTTCGGTTACCGCTATAAGGTTCTATTGACTAAATAGTAGGGGCTAATAACATGTTCGGTTGGCAATATTATTGATACTGTTCAGTATTAGTATTAATATTACAATCAGTTTCAGTATCAGTATCAATATAAAACTATCAGTATCAATATCAATATCAAATTATCAGTATCAGTATCAGTATCTGTATCAATATCAGTATCAATATAGTATCACTATCAATATGAGTATTAGTATTAGTATTATTATTAGTATGAGTATGAGTATCAGTATCACTCAAGGTTCCAAAAAGCGGAAATCGGGTCGGACGCAGTTAGGCACCGCCGCACGATTAATCGGTGCGGCGGTTATTAATCGGCGATAAATCGGAAATAAATCAGTTTTTAAACTTTAATATAATATATTTCTGGATAGTATTTATAAATACTCAAACATATATACAAAGATATTTAAACATGGTTATATCTCCATCATTTATATATCCTAATAACATAATAAAATTTTAATAATAATAAGATCATAATACAATAAAAATCCTTATAAAATACAATTAAAACGCAAATCGTTTGGATTTAAATTTATTTTTGAACATTGCAAGCATATATCATTAGGTTCTTTAATAATAACAATTAATATAAATAAAATAAAGTATACACTCATTTTCTTTTATTAAAAGCCCAACTTTTATTTTGAAGTAAAAAAAAATAAAAAAAAAAGACGATTTTTGACCGATTTTTGCCACCAAAGTTCGACCCGTCTCCAAGGTTTGACCGTCTCAACCCACCTAAAACCACCTCACAGGTCAAAACCCGATTTTTCAAGCATTTTCACCAAAATCGTAAAGGTTTGGGGCTGCCTCTGCCTCAGAGACCGATTAATCGGCTACCTCGGCCGATTTTTAGAACACTGGTATCAGTATGAATATTAGTATTAGTGTTAGTATTAGTAGTAGTATTAGTATTAGTGTTAGTATTAGTTTAGGGATATATGGTATTCTTCATTTCGTGTTCAACACATTGTTATGTCAAGGAAGTGGCGTATGCGTCTTATCTCGTCTGAATTTTTTTACAAGTAGTATTGTTGTTTCAATATTATATAAGAGTTTTGCTCTTCGCATTTCTTCTTTTTAATATACTAGTTAGTACCACGTGCAATGCACGTGATTCTTACTACTTT